TCTTTACTATACGTATGGCAGCCATTGATGGTGTATTCAGAAGAGCGAATGCAGCAGCTAACTTGGTACTATGGTGAGATGTTTCTCCCTTGTCTCTATACAAATAACCCCTATGCTTAAACTCATTTATAAGTTGTTCTATTTGTTGATGAATCTCATTTATCTCCTGACTGGAGCTATCTCCAGAAGCGAAGAAGTGCATTTTACTCTTAATCTCGACCCAGCTCCAACCAGGATTCTTCCTCAAACCTCTCTCTTTCATTAGCTGACGAGTCATCTCCCCTAGCTTAGCCTGGCCAGACTCATCATATAGGTTTGCGAGCAGTGTGTAAAAGACTGGATCTGATGGATTGATTTCAAGGCCTCTTCTGGCTATATCTTCACCAAGAGACAGATTCTTATGCACTCTGCAGGCACTTAATAACGTTTTGTAAATCAGAGCATCTGGCCGAAAATGCATCTTCTCTACAACTCCAATCGCCTCCTCTAGTTGGCCTCCCCGGCTGAGGAGATCAACTAAACAAACATAGTGATCAAATTGTGGTAATATGTCATACCTTTCTCTCATACATTGAAAATACTCAAGACCCAGGTTGACCAATTTACCATGACTGCAAGCAGAAAGCACTAGCAAGAATGTTACTGAATCGGGTTTGGTTCCTGCCAACCTCATATCATCGAAAGTAGAGAGTGCGGAGGAGATGTATCCGTTTGATGCCAGTCCAGATATCAAACCATTCCATGAGACCACATTTGGCTCTGTTATTTCTTTGAAAGCTCTATGTGCATTATGTACATCTCCAGATTTACCATAGAAACCAACCAGCCCATTTAAGACTGAAATCCAGGTGCTCAAGCCAGATTTTATGGAATGAGAGTGAAGTTGCTTCCCTGTTTCAAATGTCCCAAAGCTAGATGAAGCCGAGAAGAAGCTTGTCAAGCTAAATGCATCCATCTTAACATCATCATTGTACATGTGATTGATGATGTTCAATGCCATTTCAGAGTCACCCATCTGATTTGTTCTAGTAGCTAAGCTTGTGTATGTGATGGCATCTCTTTGATTCATCTTGCTAATCACCTGCCATGCATCATTCACAATTCCTAATGCAGCGTAGGCATCAACCAGAGCATTTGCAACTGCAATTTCATCATCTGCCTTTGTTTTTATTATATATCCATGTAGTATCAATGTCTGCCAGAGTGATCTCGTTTCACTGCACCCTCTGAGAATGCTAGTGACAGTAAAGGAATTTGGTTGAACTCCACCTGCTCGCATCTCAACAAATGATTCAAAGGAATCTTGAACAAAACCATGGTCGACTAGACCAGCAATCAAGGAGGTCCAAGAGATGACATTGGGTGAGTTTATTTCTGTAAACACTCTCCAGCCATTTTCAATTACTGAGAGCACTTCATGTACATATCAACAAGTGAATTTCCAACAGAAACATCATCCTCCAAACCAGCTCCAATCACTCTTCCATGGATCTGTCTTCCCAAATCCAAAGATTGAGCTGATGAGCAGGCATTTAAAATACTAGAATACGTAAAATTAGTAGGTTTTATTCCTGAGATCTGCATCTCTTGAAATGCACTAAAAGCCTCTCTGAACCTCAAGTTATCAGTAAACCCGGAAATAACAGAAGTCCATAGTAAAACATCAGATTCCGGTGTCAAATTCGAAACCCTCATAGCATCTTCCATCATTTGCCATTTTGAGTATAGATCGACAATGGCTGTCTTCAACACCAGATTCAATCTAACTCCCCAGATTATTACATGGGCATGAAGCAATTTCCCAAAATTCACACCAAGAAAACGAGAAGCAGCTAAGAGTTTCACAAAAGTGAACTCATTTGGAGGAACCCCAGCCTCAATCATCTTGCCATATAATCCTAAAGCATCTCTCCATTGTTGAGTTTGAACAAAGGAAGATATCATCGTCGTCCAAGAAACAGTATCACCATTATCCAAACAACCAAACAATTTATAAGCTTCTTCACTGCAACCACACTTGGAATACAAATCAATCAAACCGGTACCCAGAAACCGATTCAACTCAAACCCACTCTTGATCACAAACCCCTGCAAACAAGCTCCACGACTCAGTTCTCCCAAAGCAGCACAAGATCTCAGCACACTAGACAGTGTAAACTCGTTCGGGGACTCACCCAAACTCACCATCTCATCGAACAACCGAAGTGCTGAGTCAGGGCTTTCGTTCTTGACATAAGCAGAAACCATGGATGTCCACGAGACGACATCTCTCTGCGGCATTTCGTCGAATACCTTTCGCGCCTCGTCCAGTTCGCAGCATTTTGCATAAACAGACAACAGATTGTTCTGCAGATAGATGTTATCTTGAAGACCCAGCTTGATTACTGGGCTATGAACACAAAAACCTACTTTCAGAGACTTGGAGTTGCAGAGAAAAAGAATCCGTGAACATGTCTCCTCGAAACGAGTTAACTCGCATGAGTTAACCAGCTTCGTCGCTGCTTTGCATATCATCTCTGTCGTAATTGCTTTCCAGAAGGATTGTTAACGGCGGCAACACCAGCCTGCAATGTTAACCTCGCATTGCATCTTCAAGGAAATAAAATTATCGAAAGTTTTTAATCTTTTAAACGAAATTTGATATTAAATTATTCAACTTTCAAGATCATTTATTGATGAACTTGTCAAACTGTATTAATTTTTGTTTTAGATTTTTCATTTCGAAACTTTTGTAATTAATCAAAAAATCAAAGTCAATAATTTCACATTAGATCTCAGTTTCCTAAGATTTTAAAATAAATTTTCTACGATCATTTTTCTATATCCATTTGATCATATTTCAACAGAAAATTTCCAACTTGTAGCAATCACGGGAATTTTTCTGAGAAACTTACTAAGAACATTGCTTGTGAAAAAAAATTAATTTCTTTTTTTTTTTATTTTTGGATTGTTAATTTTTTCTATCTATAGTTTTTATTGAGAAATAAAATTTGGAATAAATTTAAAACGA